TATATATGTCCTAAGTGTGTGAGAATGTCAGTGTTTTAAGCCGCCCTGATCACGTTAGCAGAGGGGCGGGATAAAATTATTATTATTATTATTCCTAGGGCATATATGTCTGTCCCTGGCTTTCCACTCCACCAAATGCATCTGAGGAAGTAGACTTTAGTCTACAAAAGCTCATGCTACCAGCTTCTTTCTGTCAGTTAGTCTCCAAGGTGCTACATTTCTCTACATACTGATTCTACAGACTAACACAGTTGTATCTTTTATAGGTGCCAACTTAATCCTGGCAGTCTGGAGCAGGGGTAGGCAACTTTTCCCCTTTAAGGGCCGAGGGACTTCAGCTCCCAGAAGCCTCAGCCAGGTTGGCCAATAGCCCCATGTTGGTCAATAGCTCCTGGGATTCTGGGAGCTGAAGTCCCTCGGCCCTTAAAGGGGAAAGGTTGCCTACCCCTGGACTCTGGAGTAAATGTTCATCAGAGGACCTGAGGCGTATGGGGCGGATTAAATGGGAGGAGGTGATCCTGGAGGTAACCTGGACCCAAACCATGTACAACTTTAAAGGTAACAACCAAAATGTTGTACCTTGCCCAGGTGCAAAGCTCTAAATAAACCAATAGGCCAAATATTCATATAGCTCTAAATAAATATGAAATGAATATATATTTCTATGAGTTTGTGGAGCTTTTCTTGGGTCACGTCTTCCTTTTTCCTTGGAGGGCCTCCATTTTGTGTTGCCTGGTCCTCCTTCACAATGAGGACCCCTGGTCACCCAGAAGGGGGACCCCTGACCCCACTCTCTCCCAGAGACCCCTTTCAGGGGATGCACCCCAAAATCCTGAAAAAGAAGAGGGTCTCCACAGTGGCCAGATGTGTCCTAAGGCAGACAAGGCACTGCAAAATGTAGGACATTAGAGAAAGAAAAAGAGGATATGACCAAATAAAAGCTTTTAAAAAAAAACACTCCTAGAAATATAAATCCATGCTTTTTAGTGATGCTCAAAATGGAAGACATTTGGAAATTCCTCCACGACAGAAAATAAAAGCTAAAAACACTTATAAGTGTGAAATCCATATCTCTTCTTACTCCTGCTCAAAATGGAGGACATTTGGGGATTCCTCCAGGACAGAAAATAAAAGCTAAAAACAGGAATGTACTAAAGCAAATGATAGCACTTGCCCATAGGAAAACCATACATCATGCCCATAGGGAAACACTGGGGAATACTTGCCCATAGGGAAATATAGAAGAACACTTGTCCACAGGGAAACTTAAATTCCCTTATGGGCAAATATTCCCCAATGTTTCCCTATGGGCAAGTATTGTCATTTCTTTTAGTACATCCCCTAAAAACACACTAATATATATATATATAAGAATGATATATTTATATAAAAATAAATCCATGCTTCTTAGTCCTGCTCAAATTGGAGGTTGTTTGGGAATTCCTCCTGGGCAGGAACTAAAAGCTAAAAACACACCAATATAAACATAAACAAAATTTATTTATATATAAAATATACTTATATAAATTTGAAACCTATGCTTCTTAGTCCTGCTCAAAATGGAGGACACTTGGAGATTCCTCCTGGACAGAAAATAAAAGCTAAAAACACTCATAATATAAATACAAAAAATAATTTATTTACATATAATATAAATCCATGCTTCTTAACCCTGCTCAGAATGGAGGACATGGGGGGGAAAAGGCTGGAATGGAGGACAGGTCCGGGAAAAGGAGGGCACGCCTGGTGCCCCCCCCCCTTGAGTCCGGGGTCCCTGAAACTTGTCCAAGTCTTCCCAGGCTTCCCTCCCGGCTGCAGCCACAGGTCAGGCAGTACAAAGCCCCCCTCCCCATCAGAAAGACGCTAAAGGAAGCGCGGCTGGAGCCCCCTACCTTGGAGTGGTCGGGCCCGGCTGGCCACCAGGAAAGCAGGCAGGCAGCGCCACGGAAGCGACCAAAGAACAGTCAGGAGGGGGAGGCGGCAGTGGCGGCTGCCCTCAACGCCGCGGGCCCGCCACATGCCTCTCCGAAGCCACGCCCCTCCTGCTCCCCAAGCCACACCCACCAGTGGGCCTCTGAGGACAGGACACGCCCCCTCGCCGGCGCCCCGCCCAAGCCCCGCCCACAGTCTCTCCCTTCCTAACATAACGTCATCTTCTCCTTGCTCCTCCACTTCGCAGTCGCCTTTCGTGACGTCACGGCTGGCCTTATGGGAGGGGGAGAGCGGTCTCATTGCTGGGCTCCTCCTCAGCAGCCTTTTAAGCGGCGTCCTCTCTTCTGTCGTTGGGTGCCTCCACGTTGTTTCCCACACTTACGGCGACCCCGATAAGGGGCTGTTGTCTTGGCCAGATTGGTTCAGAGCGGGTTTGGCCAGTGCCTTCCTCTGAAGCTGAGAGAGTGTGACTTGGCTAAAGTCACCTGGTGGGTTTTCATGGCTGGATTGGGATTTGAACCCCGGTCTCCACAGTCACAGTTTGTTGCTAACTGCCCTCCAGTCGATCTTGACTCT